CACTGGGTATAGGAACATGAAACAGATGTGTTCCTGTCCTAAATGAGCTCACAATTCAGTGAAAATTTTCCAACAATTTCTAGAGAGATAAGTACAATGACTATTAGGTGCCCAGGACTTCTATAAGTGCTTTTTAATTCTGAATCCATTTATAAATCCTCACAACACAATAGAGGCCTGTATTATTGTCCCCATATAACAACTGATATGGTGAATTTGAAGCAAATCACTTGCCTATGGTCATTCAGTAGTAGATGGTAGAGCAGGATTCTAGTCTAGCTATTTTGCTCCATTTCCTATGTTCTCAGTATTCACCTGTTCTCTTTCTGTTAACTGACTTTGGTGGTGGGTGTGGTGTGGTAACATATATCAGAAGAGGTATGAACCTCTACGCTTACAGGAATACAACAGTGTAAAGCAATGTGACCTCAGCACAAAAGATAGAATTAAAAATAAAACTGTAGATATTAACTGGATGGCTGCCAAGCCAGGATGGTTGACTGGCTTGAGAGCATGGAAAGCGCTCACCCATACATTTATACATCAATTCACTTGGTCATTTATTTAACTTTATTGACCATTTCCTATTTTCCAAGAGCTATAATATGGTTCTGGATAATCTGCTAAAGAAAGAGCTGCAGGAACTTCAGGTGTACTACCAAAAGAGAAGATTTGAAGGGAATACAATAAAAAGGGTGCCTTTTCTGAGTCCAGCTTGAATTCAAATCTTCATCTTTTACTTAATATAACCTCAGGATCTGTAATTCCAAGTCTCCTCATCTGTGAAATGGGATTAATAATAGTGTTTACAGGGCCTCCCTGGTGGCCAAGGGGTTAGTCTCAGGACTATCACCTCAACAGCCTGAGTTCGAATCCAGGCCAGGGAGCTGACCCACATGGTGCAGCAGACATCTCCTGTCCTGCACCCTGCTCCCCTCAGCAGTATATTTCAGTAGATCCACTTGTTCTGTTCCCCACTCTGTCTCTGGTGAATCCTCTCACCCCCACACCTCTGGCCTGTACATCCCAGTTCTGTAAGCATAAATACATAAATCTTTTAAAAAAAATACAAACTGTTAGCCATCAGCATTATCATGATGGAGATACAAAATACTATATAATGGACCTGATGATGTCAGAAAAGGTTATCTGAGAAGGTAACAGGACAGCAGAGTTTTGGAGAATTAGCACACTCACTGAATAAAAAGCTGTCCTTTCTTTCCTCTGATGACATCTCTTCTTTCCCAGTTACACAGCCTCCAAGCTTAAGTCACTTTAATTCCTTTCTTGCCTTATTTACTCAGTTGCCATGTCATACCAATCATCTATCCTGCTTTTATTTCTTTTAAAAAATTATTCATTTATGAATTGGTGTGGGGGTAGAGAAGGGGTGAGAATATTCACTAGAGCAAAGGAGGGAGCAGAACTAGCAGATCTACCAAAATACACTGCTGAGGGGAGCAGCGGGAGAGACAGGAGAGGTCTGCTGGGTCATGTGGGTCAGCTCCCTGGCCCAAGATTGTACTCATGCCACAGTGGCTGGCAGATAGCTTGATAGTGCCAAGACTTTAACCCCCTACTACTAGGGAGGCCCTGTCCTGCTTTTATTTCTTGCCTCTGCCCTTTTATTATTTGTCTTCTTTGCCACTAACCTAGCCCAGTCCATTTGCCTCTCCCTGATAAGGAGGTAGAGGCAGCGTGGTTAATTGCATTGCAGTGAAAGAGCACAGGCTGTTTGACTAGCCTTGACTCTCAGTTCCTTCATCCAATAGCTAATGTAAGAGGCACAGATCCCAGCTCTAACCTTACAAGGAATGTGAACTTAAATAAGTTCATGTATTTCCATAAACTTCCAGTGGTGCTCTATGGGATTTTTCTGAGTTCCTTTTTTAAAGCATAGCACTTTGTACCTGACTTTTTTCTATTACTCAACTATGAACTATTCTCCCCTAGTATTGGGCCTGCTCATTCAATAATAAGTAGCTTTTCTCTCTCTCTCTCTCTCTCTCTTTTTTACAGCAGCGTTTTGCTTTCTTCACAAAAATTGCATTGCTGGGGCCTAACGTTCTGACATTACAGTAGAAAAGCAAAATATATTGCCAGCTCTTAAAGAATTGAGAATTACATACCCCAAACAAACAAATAGGGGCCCTCCCTGGTGGTGCAGTAGGGTAAAGCACAGCACTATGAAGCTAGCCACAACAACTCAGCACGAGTTTGAGAGTTTGAGTCCTGGCCAGGGAGGTGACCCACACAGCTTGGCAGACCTCTCCTGACCCGCCCGCTGCTCCCCTCAGCAGTGTACTTCATCGATCTGCCTGTTCTTCTCCCTACTCTGTCTCTGGTGAATCCTTTCACCGCCCCTGCAGTTCTGGCCTGTACCCCAGTTCTGTATGCACAAATAAACAAAACTTTAAAAAACAAACAAAAAAAAACATATAAATGACAAGGATGTTTGAGTTTATAGGTGTAGACACAAGCTGTTTTCCAACTCAGGGCAAATAACAACCCGCAGTATTCTAGCAAGAAAACATTGTAAGAAAGGAAAGTGAGTCCCAAGGCCCTATCAGACCAGTGAGACAGAAATGACAACTGGTTGTTGGGATTCTTTTTTTTTTTTTTTTAATATTTATTTACTTATGCATACATAACTGAGGTACAGGGGCGGTGAGAAGAGTCACCAGAGACAGAGTGGGGAGCAGGACAGGCAGACTGAAGTATACTGCTGAGGGGAGAGCAGGTAGGTCAGGAGAGGACTGCCTGCTGGCCTCTGGCTGGGAATCAATCTCGAGTTGAAGCGGTTGTGACCAGCTTCATACTGCTGTGCTTTAACACGTTGCACCACCAGAGAGGGCGCTAGTTGGGAAGACTCTTGCCAGTGGAGTGGAAAACCTAGAATAGGAAGCTTCTCATTAATACTCTCTATAGATCAAGGAAGTGACTTCTCTTCACAGGACATCTCAGCCACTAAGTGACAGAGCCCCAGGGGGTAGGTGTTTGTTTATTCAGCTAAGACAGCAGAAGGAATGATTTATTGTACACCTGCCACATGCAGGCAGAGCTGAGAACAGAGCCAGTCTAGAATGTCACATGTTCCTGGCAGACATGATTTTGAGAAGAACCCTATTCAGTCCAATATACCTTTTTTTTTTTAAGATTCTTTATGCATATAAGTGAGGTACAGGCCAAAGGTATGGGGCAAGAGGATTCATCAGAGACAGAGTAGAGAGCAGAACAGACAGATGGCCTGAAATACACTGCTGAGGGGAGCAGCAGGCAGGACAGGAGAGGTCTGCCACGCCTGCGTCAGCTCCCTGGCCAGGGACTGAGCTTGAGCTGCAGTGGCTGCAGAGAGCTTCATAGTGCTGTGCTTTAACTAAACCCCTATGCCACCAGGGAGGCCCTACTCTTTTTTTTTTTTTTTTTTTTTAGAATTATTTATTTGT